GTTTTGCGGTGAAGTGATTGTCTAGTTATTGTCTTCTAGATTAAAAGAAAGCCTAGTCTTTACACGCATACTTTTATCCTCTAATTGTGAGAAGACAATGAGACAAGAAAATCCCCATGTTTTAGCAAAGTTTAGGCTTCTCAGGGGGAATGCAGGTTACTCTTGAACAGTGAACAGCCCCTGCTCCTGAGAGCCGTTGTTAGACATACAGTCCTTAAGTTTATAAATATTTTTACATCGCCCTAACCGGTTTGGCTCAGTGGATAGAGCGTCAGCCTGTGCCGATCAAGGGCGTGTACCTTGGTTGCGGGCACATCCCCAGTGGGAGGTGTGCAGGAGGCAGCTGATCAGAGTTTCTCTCTCATTGATGTTTTTAACTCTCTATCTCTCTCCCTTCCTCTCTGTAAAAAATCAGTAAAATATATTTTTTTAAAAAATGCCCTAGCTGGTTTGGCTCAGCAGATAGAGCATTGGCCTGCGGACTGAAGGGTCCCAGGTTCGATTACGGTCAAGGGCACATACCTGGGTTGCGGGCTCAATCCCCAGTAGGGGGCGTGCAGGAGGCAGCCGATCAATGATTCTCTCTCATCATTGATGTTTCTATCTCTCTCTCCCTCTCCTTTCCTCTCTGAAATCAATAAAAATATATTTTAAAAAAATATATATTTTTACATCTATGTTTGTGTAATAGAAATGGAACCAGCCCATAGCTACTGCTTTCTCTCCTACACCCAGACATCTTTTTAAGTCAGTTCATAAAGACCTACCTAAAGAGGGCTTTTAATAGACCCCCATATAAAAGGGGCAAGGTATCACTGTATGGACATGGTTTAATTCTTAATTCCTGGCTTGAGACTGCTTGGTTTTTAAGTTGATTTTACATTATAAGAACCTACCTTTCCTTACTGGTGACTTTATGTTAAATCTGTATTGTGCCTGGCAGGTGTGACTCGGTTGAGCATCGTCCCATATACTAAAAGGTTGCCAGCTTGATTTCCAGTCAGGGTACATGCCCAGGTTGCAGGTTCAATTCCCGGTTAGGGTGTGTGTGGGAAGCAATCGATCGATGTTTCTCTCTCACATCAGTTTCTCTCTCTTTCCCTTCCTCTCTTTCTAAAAATCAACTTAAAATAACATTTAAATCTGTGTCTTAAAAGCAAGCACTCTCCAACACTATTAGCAGGGGTATAAAGTGGGCAACTCACCTATTTGCAATGGATGGCATGTTCCTGTCTCCTCAAATTCCTATGTGGAATACTAATCCCCAATGTGATATTAGGAGGTGGGGCCTTTGATAGGTAATTAAGTCATGAGCACAAGGCCCTCATGAATGGGATTAGTGCCCTTATAAAAGCCACCCTAGAGAAATCCCTACCCTCTTCTGCCATGTGGACACAGCAGGCAGTAGTCTATGAACCAGGAAGAGGGCTCTCGCAAGACACCAATTCTACTGGCACCTTGATCCTGTACTTCCAGAACTGTGAGAAATAAATGTCTGTTTCTTTAAGCGACCCAGTCTATGGTATTTTTGCTACAGCAGCCCAAACTAAGACACATAATTTAAAATGTTCATTCCCTTGGATTCATCAATTCCACTTCTATGAATTTATCCTACAGAAGCATTTGCATAAATGTGCAATGAAATTAGGATGTCTATAAAGAAGGAATTAGCCCTAGCAGGTTTGGCTCAGTAGATAGAGCATCGGCCCAAGGACTAAAGGGTCCCAGGTTCAATTCTGATCAAGAGCACGTATCTCAGTTGCAGGCTTGATCCCCAGAGGCAACCAATCAATGCGTCTCTCTCACATGGATGTTTCTCTCTGTGTGTCTCTCCCCCTCCCTTCCACTCTAAAAAAATCAATGGAAAAATATCCTTGGTGAGGATTAACAAATAAAAAAAAGAAGCAATTAAATTACAGTATAGCCCTAACCGGTTTGGCTCAGCGGATAGAGCATCAGCCTGTGAACTCAAGGGTCCCGGGTTTGATTCCGGTCAAGGGCATGTACCTTGGTTGCGGGCACATCCCCAGTAGGGGGTGTGCAAGAGGAGCTGATCGATGTTTCTCTCTCATCGATGTTTCTAACTCTCTATCCCTCTCCCCTCCATGTAAAAAAATCAATAAAATATATTTTTTTAAAAATTACAGTATAACCATATGATAGAATACAAGTACCTCACCAATGAGTTTTCATCAACATTGAGGCAAGATCCTCCACCAGCAAAAAGATTTATGACTCGCTGAAAGCTCAGATGGTTAGCCTTTTTAACAGCAAAAAAAAAAAAATCCTCACCCAAGGATATGTTTTTATTGATTTTAGAGAGGGGAAGGGAAAGGGAACCATTAATGTGAGAGAAACATTGATAGGTTGCTTCCCATACACGCCCCAACTAGGGTTTGAACCCACAACCTAGGCATGTGCTCTGACTGAGACTCAAACCCAACACCTTTTTGGTGCACAGGATGATACTCCAACCAACTGAGCCACCGGCCAGATCACAATAAAGTATTTTTAGTTAAGGTATTTATATTATTTTTATAAACATATTGCCATTATACACTTAACAGACTACAGTAAAATGTAAACATAACTTTTATATGCACTGGGAAACCAAAACATTTGGGTGACTCGCTTTATTGTGGTATCCACCTCACTGGTCTAGAACTGAACCCACAATATCTCTCAGCCCTCCGTATCTGTGGGTTCCACATCTTTGGATTCAACCAAATGCAAATCAAAAATATTTGGAAAAAAATAATGCATTGTTGCTATTTGTGTATTATATGTAGTTAGGTCTATGATGTTCATGTCTGTACTGAACATGTACTGACTTTTTTGTCATTATTCCCTAAACAATACAGTGTAACAACTATTTGCATAGCATTGTATGTATTAGGTATTATAAATAATCCAGAGATGATTTGAAGTATATGGGAGGGTGTGCATAGGTTATATGCAAATACTACACTGCTTTTTTTTAAAATATATTTTATTGATTTTTTACAGAGAGGAAGGGAGAAGGATAGAGAGTTAGAAACATCGATGAGCCATAACCGGTTTGGCTCAGTGGATAGAGCGTCGGCCTGCGGACTGAAAGGTCCCAGGTTCGATTCCGGTCAAGGGCAAGTACCTTAGTTGGGGGCACATCCCCAGTAGGTGTGCAGGAGGCAGCTGATGGATGTTTCTCTCAATGATGTTTCTAACTCTCTATCTCTCCCCCTTCCTCTCTGTAAAAAATTAATAAAATATATTTTTTTAAAAAGAAACCGATGAGAGAGAAGCATCGATCAGCTGCCTCCTGCACACCCCCCACACCCCCTCCACCGGGGATGTGCCTGCAACCAAGGTACATGCCCTTGACCGGAATGGGACCCGGGACTCTTCAGTCCCCAGGCCGATGCTCTATCCAGTGAGCCAAACCAGCTAGGGCAATACTACACTACTTTACATAAGAGACTTGAGCATCCATGGAATTTGGTATCCATTGGGGTCCTGGAACCAATTCCCCAGGGACGACTATATTACACAATCTTTAAAAAGAATGCAACTGCTGTAACAAGATGTCTAAGATACAATAAGTGGAAAAAATGCACGCTCCAACACGTGTGTAGTATATTAACAAAGACATCAGCACAGAAAATGCCTATGGAACTGTGCAATAAAGCATTAATGATGGTTATCTGTGAGATATGGAACTATGGTGAAACATGGAACTGTGGAAGAGTTTAACTTTTTAGGTTAAGTTTCTGAATTTTTAAAAATATTATTTTTGTGATTTAAAGAAAGCATATTTTTCTACACTGTCATCAGCAACTAGGAACCCCACCATCTTAAGGACCACATTGGCCTATGGCAAAGAGCAGATTGGGGACGGCGGTGTTAATCCATACTAGCCCAAGCCACACAACAGCGTGCTGCTCTCCCTATCTCGGGCCTCAAACCCAGGGCAGTTGACCCTGGACCCTCATCAAGCCCACTCCCCAGTCAGATCTGCCCTAGGCCCCTCTCAGTGAAGACTAGGAGCCAGCCAGGACTACAGCTCTAGTTGGTATGCCCATCACCTTTCATTAGTATTTACTACTAGCTGACATTTATGTTTGTAGAAGACTCTACAGACATCTCTAGATTACAATTCTTACCATTAGGGCAGGAAGCAGCCTTCACCATAGCGGGATTTGTCTCTCTAGAACTTTAGAGCAATTCCCCAACTCCAAAAAAGAAGAGTGATGACTTTGCTAACTATTGGGTTCTCTGTAAGGGGCCTTCCTGGCCCACTTCGGTGTGTCAGGAAATGGAGAGCTCCTAGAGTCTGGTCTGCAGAAGGGCACAACGCAGAGGAAATACCCCTAGCACAGTCCCTCCCCATCCCAATTCTCACCCCTACCCCACATTCAAAAGCAAAAGCACAAGAAAAGCCTGACTTTTCGTGCTCAGGGGATGAAGTTCATATTCCCTGTGGGCTCAGAGGCTGCTCAGGGAGAGGACCCTGATCGGAAAGAGCTACCTCACGGTAGAGACTTACCAAGTATTTCAACAGCAAGATATGCGGGAAGCTGGCACCCACCCTACATGGCTGAGAATAAGCAGGCCACACCTGGCCTATGCAGAGGTATTCCTGCCTGAACACATCCCGTCAGGCCCTGAGACATTTAGGAAAGATAAATGCCTAACACAGTAGCTAGAGGGTGGGGCTATGCAAGTTCCCCTAAACTATAGGGCCCCTTGGCCTCCCACCCCCTGCTGCATTTCTTTTTTTTAAATATGGTTTTTTATTGTTGTTGTTTTTTTCATTGATTTTAGAGAGGGAGGAGGGAAACATCAATGTGAGAGAGAAACAGATCAGCTGCCTCCTACTTGGGATCAAGCCGGCAACCCGGGCATGTGTTCTGACTAGTAGGAATCTAACCGGTGACCTTTTGGCGCACCGAACAAGGCCCAATCAATTGAGCCACACCAGCCAGGGGCCCCTGCTGCGTTTCTGACGTGGACTGGGAAGAGAGGAGTGCTCTGAGCTTAAGCAAGCACACCTTGGAGACAGGACCACAGTCTGTGGCAGAGTCGAGCCAATACTTTGGAGTCCAAGCTTCACTAATTCTGCTGGTCTCTGAATAATCATGCTACCAGAACGTCGCAAAATGTTTGCCTTCCATCTTAGTACCACCTGGCCCCAGATCCCATCCCTGGCATACCTGAGGACCAGTTTATCTTTCAAGCCCCTGCTAGTGTGCACCTCAATGTGGGGTTTATAGAACTTCAGAGCTGGAAGAACCTGGAAAGACCTGAAGTTCAGACCTCTTGGTCATCCCTATACTACAGGACACAGCAGCTTCTTTCCCAGCTAGGCTCCCTGTCTACTTGGTCACTCGTTCCCCTAACCATGGCCTATTTCAGGCATGGAGGAGAGACTGATGCTACTGACTGGAGAGCAGTACTACTTAGACCAAGGTCAGCAAGGGCCAATAAAGTTTCTCTTGGTTTCAGTTCTGGAATGACCCAGAGAGCTGCCCCAGAGACATGAAGTGGTCAGCACAGGGTCCACAAAGACTGCTGTCAAAGTGAAGGCGCTGCCAAGTACCCTTTTTTGTG